ATGAGTCGCGCCGTCAGCGAGAAACGAGGGGAAGTTTGGACTTGGCTTACGCACCGTCTGCGCGCTTCGGGAGCTTGTTTGTCTACCCAAGGTAGGTTCGGTCGACTTGCCCACGAGCGGCGCCCACCTTCTTCAGCCGCCCGCCCACCGAACGCCCGCCGGTCGGTCTGTCTTGCCCCCGGAGCCCGTCACCCATTCCGGATCATATTCGTGCCCCAGATTACGCCAGTTCATGATTCCTTCTACCGGAGTGCCCAGACATGTCATCGGTTATGATAGTTATCATGAACGCGGGGGTGCCATCAGCGCGGCTATGGATCGAAATCCTCCGTGTGGAGTGCTCGGGTCTTCACTTACATTGGGCCAGATCCGGAGATCTACGGAGATTGCCTCCTTCGTCTCCTTTCTGACCCCTCACAATACATCGCCAGCCTTCTTCTAGTGAACTGACTTCCACACTCATGGCCAGCATCCAGCTAATATCCCTCATGTGGCAAGCGCGGGACGAAAATTAGTAGGCACTATTAGATCTTGGCCACGGAAGTTTTCCTTGGCATCTTACGATGTTGATGGCAACTGTGGCTGTGCTTATGACGAGCGGGTTGGATGTCCGAGGGCCCTGCCGAACTCTCAAATTCGTTCTCTCCTGTGATTGCTATGCACATATTTTGCATCACTCATTGCCCAGCACGGCTCCTCTTGTATTCATGAGAATATGATTGATATATGTGTCTTCGTAATGGCTCAACGCGACCGACGGAGCACATCAATAGCCCAAGGTAACTGGCTCTCTCGTCGAGTGGGAAACGAGCAGAGCTGTTTCCTTGAGGGCGTGAATTCAACAGACCCTCTTAAACGGTACCCCTAACTTGCGGCACCCCTCTGGGTACCTCGGTGGGCAAAACTGCCGCCTGTTTGCCACTGCCTTCTGGTTTTTAAAAGCTGTGAGGGCTCTTTTGATTTTATGGACTATGAGAGATCGTCTGGCTGGGAACGGCTCTGATCATAAGCCCTCCTCTGGCTGAGAAGGGGCTTTCTAGCTGTGAGAACCTCTTAGGCCTCTTCTGGGACCAGTGGCCTCTGCTAGGTTTCTTCTGATCGTGTAATACGTCCTCAGCTCACTGAGGTGCACTGAGGGATGCATTTGAAGAGACACCTTCCCCAATCTGATAGTTGAGATCGAACTTGGAGAGACTTGGAGCATTGTCGAGCGGTCCCGTAGAAGTCTTACCGTTCAGTCCAACGGAAGGCTCCGATAGCAATGGTGCTGCTCAATTTGCACATGTCTCCTTCACAAACCGCGTGGTTAAAGAGAAGGGACTCTAGATACTGGGCAATACTTCATGTTGCATGCAACGTCAGGCTGCATGTGATCCGGAGGCTCTGAACATCTTCCTGGAATTCTTCAAGCACAACGAGATGATTGCCTTCAGGGTTCTGCCTCTGCGATGCGCTATGTTACGTCTATTTTGATTGGACTAAGCCTGTGGCTGCGGTCAACTGATTACGACCCAGTCAGGCTTGATCCGGCCGCCTTTAACAGGGCTGAGAACACGTTGACTCAGGGAGTAATGGATTTATACTAATAGAATCGTCTCCGACTTGCCACTTTGAGGGTCTTTTGGGCTGGTCCATCGTTGGCGCGCGGAAGGTCGCCTGCTGGTATGGCCGCGAAGCGCGACTTAGGATGTCCTGAGATCTTATCTTACCAATAATTGCAGAAGATAACGATGGTCTAGTTTGTGCTTTCCACTTGGCCATAGAGCATAGCACAGTTGCAACTGTTCGTTGTCTCAAAGAGAACTTCGGGAGCAGTATTAATGCACTACACAGAAACAGCAACCGCCCCCTCCCCCCCCCCCCCCCTCTCTCTCTCTCTTATCCCACACGTGCTACTTGGGAAATGAGGAAATGATTGAGCGCTTTCTTTCCATGGTGGCAGATATACTAGAAGAGGGCGATCAACACTATGCTATTCTTCTTATCCCAGCGGTTGGGAAACAACATATGGATCATTGACATCCTTGCAAGGGGAAAAGAGCGAGTATGTTCGCTTACTGTAACACACGAACATGACAAGCAGACTGGACCGCATATTGAAGCACGACAACGTTCAGATGAGACTACCATCTTGGAAGAAAGATGAAGGCTCACAGAAGTGAAGGCTCACAGAAGTGAAGGCTCACAGAAGACCTTGGCACTGACTGATAGTAAGGGACAAACAGCCTTAGATATTGCCGTTGAACATGAGCAGGAGTCGATTATGGCCACGTTATAATTCTGCGTGTAGATAGACTAAAGGCATTTTGTGCTGGTCGCTCTGGACGTCAAATCACAGTTACTGAGCGCGCCGTTCAATCTCTCGGCGTATTTACTACTCCATATCCTGACATTGCTGAAGCGAGAGTGCGTGTCGAAAAGCAGTTTTGGGCGCTTGGAAGCTAAGCTCAGCCAAACAACAAACGTGGGACGCGCGAAAATTAGGAGAGCTCAACACGCAAAGGGTGACATCGGATTGAATAGAAAACATTAACATCACATCAATACGGAATTTAGGAGGTGAATGCGCATAACTGATTCGCTTTGATAATCAGGGTTCACTGTTTTGTCTTAGCTGAACAGCCTTGTGCATATTTCCGCCAACGACTAGTCGAACATCTAACACCTCAGGCTACCGTTGCTGTTGCTCAAACAGGTATCTGAATCATTGTGTAAGCTATCAGTTGTGTCAGGAAGGGAAATTTCCCATGTAAAGCCATACCGAGATTCAACGAAGATGCCTTCTTGGTGCCGGTGGAATCGGTGCAACGGCAGTTCAAGGTCTTCTTGTCGCCGGCGAGACCGCAGTCGCAGAACTTGAAGGACGGGCTACCGGGACGGCACTGCGGATTGCAAATCACATTGTCAGTCACTTCCGCATCATTGATACTGTCAAGAGGGTTGCGTTCGGTCGTGGGAAATAGCTTACGACAACCTGGCCGCCAACATTGGCGAGACATCTCGTCAGGTCGATATCCGTATCCTCATCGTAGGGCTCGTAGTCGGTGTTTGTGCACTTTGCGCTGAGGGTGGTGGAGAAGTACGACATGCTGTTGCATGTCTTTGAGAAGTCACCAGCGGCGACGAGCTGGACAGCAGCTGCTGCGACCAAGGAGAGAGCAATTTGCATACGCATGGTGAATGAAGGTTGGGTAAATTTAATGAGTGTCTTGGTATGTACAAAGAAGAAAAGTGGGCGAAGAGAGAGTGTGTGAATGTTAACTCGATAAGACCGACGAAAGTGCAATCATCAAACAACATGCTTGAAAGCTCGCGAGCCATGGAACTAAATATGTTCTTCCAGAGCCTACAAGATCCGGCCGAGTCATTTGGAAGCACTGAATCCCAGAATTAAGGTTCCGACAACAGGTGAATTAGTCGCCGAGTTCCTGAGTCGCGGCCTGGCCACCCCTGCGGACGGCTTGATCCCGCTCATCGCAAACCAGTAGTCTGGAACCTTTTACTTCTAATCCATTTGAGACTCCAAGAACATGAGTCTGCCCAAAACCAAAAGAGAGCCGCTCAACACATGGGACATTCAAGGCTCTTTTTTCCCTTGTCTTGCGGACGAACTTGGCCCCCACGCGAGATATACACATCTAGGTCGTTCGTCCGACTGTCCAGAACAACTTAAAGGTTTACTAACCAAGCTGCATCATAAGATCTCCAGTCCCGATTGACTCTGTAGTTAAAGTTGCTCAGTTCATCTATATGAAGTAGACGAGGCGGACTAGTGGGTTAGAGACTATGGCCAAGCCAGCGAGAGAGCAATGCTCGACTTGACCCATCTCTTTCCGGATTGGCCGAGATGAAACTTGACAGGCTCGTGCTGATAGTGATACGCCGCGAATCTGAGGAAAATGGACGAACTATAATAAGCTTTTTTGTCGACCGTGTCCGGTGATCCGGGACAGGTGGGGCGGGACAGGAGTTTGGGGCTAATCGCCTCCGTTGATGTACGCGTATTGTGCAGAGAAAGTCCGTGTCTCTCGTTGAAGGGTCAAAAGTAGTCTCTCGCCGCTAGTCATGGATGTTAAGCTATCCCGAACCTATGGTTGGACAACATCTACAGCTTAGGCTTAGGAGGAAACAACATGTAAAGGCAAACGCGTTTATATCGAAATCAGAATTGTATTTGCATGGTCTAGTAGTTTGGAAAACACTTTTTCATATGCCTTAAAGGTACTTCTGGTCACGCGTAAAAGTCTCCTCACATCCGGATAGCTTCATTGTCTACCTACTTTCATGTTTCGACTTTCAGGAGGAATTCAATCACTCAGAAAGCCGGCTACATTCATTACTTCTCTGTCGCGCAAACATGTCTCAAGCGGAGATGCCGCAACCGCCTGGTTGGGTGCGGCAAGATTTCGACTGGGAGTTGTAACAACTTACAACTCATTGGGATAAGGCAGCTTGCGAGAAGAAACGTTCGTTTGGGGAGCGCCAAGTAGCGCGAACATCATTGAGTTGAATCTCACACTAATCTTGCATTTCCGATCCGCATCCCCTCAGCTCAATTACACAGGGACCTGCACCACCAGGATAGCAAGTATGTGTGAATTTAGCAATGGGAAACATTGAGCATAGTGCTTAGAAAGCCAAAGTCCTTATCATGAATTGCAGTCTCAATGACCACCATCGTTCGAAAAGCTCGGTGCCGGTAGCTGTTTCGCTCTGGCAAAGAGCGTTCACCAAAGACGAAAGATGAAACGGTAACATCCATCCTGACGCTGACCACATCGCCGACGCTGTGAATGTGCTATGGACTGGCCGTATTGGTTCACAACGGAGATGACGATACCATGTCTCATCCATGGATCGGAAGCTTGGGTGCCTTTTGTTTCTCGGGTTTCTAGCATCTAGATCTTGAAATGAGGTGCTTATTGACGTATGCAATGCGACATCTGACATGGAAGAGACATGTGGTCACTGTGTGAACAGAAAAGCAAAGGTAGACTCCTTCAAACCTCCATCTTCTCCAACATTCCTTGATCGCTCCTCTCCCATGGGTAGGTCTTCTCAACCGCCCGTATGAGCGCTTCATGATGCGCAGAGCGCGGCTTGACGGATGTCTCAAAAGGCTCCGGATGGCTGACAATTCCACCAAGGAGACTAATCTTTGGCTCGACGACCTGGCCATCGATGACGGCCTTGCTGATCTCCAATGCTGAAAGAGCCTGGACAATTGTGATGAACAAGGCGTTGTCGGCGAGGACACGGCCAGGACAGATGCGGCGTCCGAAGCCAAAGGCAAATCTGTTAGGGTCCATCTCCGGTGTGTTGCCCTCAGCGGACAAGAATCGCTCAGGCTTAAACTCCATCGGCGAATGGTACAACTTGGGATCATGAGTGAAGTACCTGTCGCAAGAGATTCATACGTCAGTCTCGTATCTTGCTATTATTCCAAGCCGAAGTCCATAGGCGAGCGGCACCTACCAAATGTTCGGCAAGATCACCGAGTCCTTGGGTATGTAGTAACCGTTGATGATGTCCTCTTCCGAGGACATATGAGGAATGGCCATAGGCACAACAGGCTGCCAACGAAGAAGCTCCATCAAAAGAGCCTCGATGTATGGCAGATTCGGGCGATCAGAGAAAGTGGGTAAGCGGTCTTGTCCAATAACCTGATCGATCTCGGCTTGAGCTTTTCGCTGTACCTCAGGGTAAAGCGACATGGCAAGGAAGAAGCATGCAACTGTAGAGACCGTCTGCAACGAGTTAGCAAATGACACAGTATTCGGCAACTGAGTGCTGTGCACGCCATGGACCTGGGGGCTTACGGTATCGGCTCCCCCCGCGTAGAGAGATACCGCCGTCCATTTCGCGATGTACTCGTCTTCGGGCGCTCTATCGTGCTCCCCACCAAGCAGGTTGCAGGTGATTGACGAGGTATCTCGTCCCGAGGCCATCTGGCTTTTGGTGAAAGCAAACGGCTTTTCGACAATGACTCTCAAATCTTCTCGCCATTCTTTGGCAGTCTGCTTCCATCCAGTTCCAGGGAACCATTCCGGAAGATAACGCACTAGACTCTGTCAGCAATTCCCGATGTCTTCTTTTCATGTCCGATTTGCTCACTCCAAGGGAAAATGTCGACCATAAAGGTGCCAGGGACGGAAGCCTGCCCAAACTCGTTCATCGCCTTTTCAATCGCCTCCACAAGATGATCATCTTTGAACTGATCTACGTTGTAACCGTAGATCATCTTCAGAACTACTGAAGCAGCCTCTCTTTTCGGCTCGTCAGCATATTCTTCTAGACTTGGACGAACGCCGACCAGCAACTGACCTCCTGATGTGGCCGAACAGACCCTCGGGATTGTTCAGGATATGCAGTAGGAAATGACCAGCTTCTGCCTCCTGTAGATCTTGGTACTGAGCCGCAGCCATGGTGGAGCCGATAGTCATTGCTATGTTCTTGCGCTGTTTCCGAAAGGTATCGCCGTACGGAACAAGCCCAAGTCCGTGTTTCCAGCCAACTCTGTCTCTGTATTAGCGTTCTGCAGCCATAGTTTTGAGAGCACAGCCTCACATATCGCCGCCGAACAGTAGGAATGGTCTCGACGAATGCTTTACTGATCGCTTCTCCAACATGTCCAAAGCGATGCTGGCATCATTGACGATCACCATTGTCTGGCCAAGCACCGTAATTGAGCTTATGGGACCTGTGTAAAGTGGTCCAAGTCAGATATCGGCCAATGAATAAACTAAGGATAACATGACGGACCGTAAATGTCTTTGTGTTTGATCCAATGCTTTGCTTCGTACTCTCCAGGCTTGGGCAGGTCCAACAGATTCCCCACGATGGGGAGGCCCTTGGGACCCGGGGGCAGAGGCGGATGAGGACTGTTTCTGCCTGATTTCAAGACTCTGCGGATGAGAAGAAACAAGAAAAAGACGGCACCAACGCCGAGGGCGAATGATGAAAGCCCGGCCATTGTGAACTGCTAGACACCAGGTTGTAGACAAGCAGGTTTGATTTCTCTAAGTAAGAGAACTAGTAGAGCATCCACGGGCCATGGGCTGTTATATGGCCGACCTGCGGAATGCACAGCGATAACATTCAACCCCTCACCGTCTTAAGGGGGCCAACTCTCCGATGCTCCTGGACGAATCAAGACCGATCAACAACGCACCATTTCTCGGCAGACGAGGCTCGAGTCCAACGAACAAGTAACGCTTGAGTGATCGACATGAATACCACCGCAGCACAACACAAAGTTGTCCACACGAGGCTGGGCTATCACTAAGTGCATGCGCAAGCCGTATCCACGATCGTCTTCATCAGGGGTTCAGAACGACTAAAGTTGTCACACGCATCCAATATATGCCTAACCCGGCAACTACATGCAGCTCCTTCGCACCCTTTCATATTCTGGAAACGCTTCAGACCCAATCAAACAACGCGGATTACAACCGCAACGGTCCGCGGTTCGTCAGCTTACTGCGTTATATCCGGTTACACAAAGACGTTGAGCGATATGCAATGCAACCAACCGGTCCGACCCTTTCCCCAAACAGCCAACAAGTCACAATCGACGGCAGATGATGGAAGAATAGAGTACAGGACTTGGACTCTGGGCGGCGGCGAAAATGTGTACGAATTGACACTCTTTATTGTGATATGCACGTGGATGTGTCAACTGAGACATTTATTCCCGGGTTGCCTGTCTTGGCTAGAAGTGTTGTTGTGCGAGGTTTTATCCTCATTCGGACAAGGCTCTGACTTGGCAGCTGTAGGGCAGTTGTTGAATCAATGACGATGCATTAGACCGCAGTATGTATGGGCAATCACAGTGAAGTGGATCATTGAATATGTACTGATTTGCACGTTTGGCAGTCACACCTCCTCGCAAGTGGCAAGCTTGTGCCGGCCTGCGAGCTCGTCTTCTCGTCAGCATTCTCCTACTTACCAAGGGAGAAAGCGGGGTAAAAGAGCAACGAGGGTATTGATGGTGCGAATGGGACATCGATGCAATCTTGCCCACTCAGTGTCAATACCCAGGTCAACTCAGGGAGATGCATCCATATTCGATCGGACTAGGAACGGACGAGTGCCTTAGTCAAATTCTGGCCAATTCCACCAATGAAAGTGATTTTGGCATTATCTCACTTGGTTGGCCTATCAACACGTCAGCTCACGTCTCCGGCCGCAGGTCTTGTGCGACTCATAGTCTTCAGATCTGACGCCGAGATGACAGCCTGATTTCAGCCTTACAGAATCCGATCCATTAGCTCGGCCCGATGTTATTTTCTATGACTCAATCGACTTGACTCTCATCCTCCTTCATTCGCCCAAGTCTTAATGGACAAAAGTGTCGATCCAAGATTATTCAAAGCATTTGATATAGAGTCACGTTACCGCGCGACCCAATACCCTTGGATTCTCTCCAGCGACACACCTGTTCCTGGTAGTGAAAGTTTATTTCACAGATTGCGACCTATGAATCACTTCACGTTGACAAAAGATAACAGCCGTTGGTATGTGTGTCTTTGTCATTATCTCACAGATAACAACCCCGACGACGATACGATTGGGGTGCGAAGCAATAAGGGCCTCCAAAGGTCTCCCTTTAGATCTCACACCACGCGCAAGAAAGAGGAACGCTCTATTCAAATGCGGTGTTCGATAGTTGCTTCTCTCAAACTTCGACCGCTAAGCTCCTACGTACTCGATATGCATATCTTACCTGACAAGTCGCAGGAAAGCCTCCCACCGCTAACTAACATATGCAAGTAATTGCAGATAACTCCTCGACCCTTAATAATGAACCATGTTTTACCAAACTCACCTATGACACCTTCATATAATTGCGTTTCCATCGCAACAGACTCAACTCTTGATGGTGGTCTCTTTCCGTAGCTACCCACTCATGTACGCGTCCCGTACGCTGCCTGGCTGGTGGTACACAAGCTCGCCGCCCATCAACGCCACACCAATTCGTGGCGTGATAATTCTTCCTGGAGACAACATCCAGTGACGGTCTTCCAGCGGCAGGTCTTTGAGATCCAGCGGCTCGTCCGTCAGCGCATCTTGAGGCCGGTCATAGCGCCCTAGGCTCTGCCATGACTCCACGATGAAACTGTCAGCGGTGGCAACGAGGGTATAATCGAGGAGAAAGTATTTGCAGTAACCTTTCACTGGCGTTCCCCTCTCTTCAAAAGCAGTTATCAAGTTATAATGGAAACCCAGTGGCGACGAGCTACTGTTGGAGGACCGTCCCCACGAGAGGAACACCAATCCCCGAAGCGTGTACGTCATGTGCTTACACGATGTATATCCGTCAACGTCTCCGGGCCATAATCCTGTTCGGTCTAATCTTGGCGCGCATCTGGTCGTTTCCACCCTGGCGTAAAGGATGAACGTCCCTCTGATGACTTTGGGGGCGATCACCCCTTGCACTCGATTACACCGGTGAGGTTCATCCTTCCATTCATATCGGGAGGCTACCGTGTGGCTCTGCAACACCTTGCTGAGTAGTTGACAGTCGACAGCAACCCCGTTATTTTTCATTCTTGTGAGCTTGAGTACCATCTGTATTCGTGAATGATGTATAGTCAAAGCAGCCGGTTGCAGTAAGGTATCCAATTTCGAGGGTACATCCGTAGACTTCATAGCTTGAGACCCGAACGTTGGGCAGGCTTGAGAGATATGGTGAAGCTTCACGCAAAACTCGCAAACCCAATGATGAGGCATGGTCCAGGCGAGGCCGGCGAGAAAGACTCTTGCGGCCTTGCTCATGATCCTTGAAGAGTGTTTCAATTCGAAAAGATTATCCCAATCCTTAATGTCCATGTCGATCACCTTCTTTGCAAGTCTGCAGGTATGAGAAAAGAGAAACTTGTCGTGCCACTCGAAGAAATTCGCGATTGCCAGCAGTATCTCAGTGGGAAGTCTGATGAGTCGCGAGCTCTGGGTGTCGACGGTGCTCAGACGCTCTGGCTCTGCAGCGTCGTCGAGTTGCTCCATGATTCCAGTGATGTTGTTCGAATCGATCAGAGGGGGGAAGTAGCGGGTTTGGTTGATGTAGAGGAAAGAAAATGGAGTATTGTGAGGAGCCCGCATCGAGACTCTTCGCCTTAGCTATATATGTTGCTGGGTACCTGTCTGAACCTAACTCCACAAGTCGAGTTCAGACCAGTGTTTAGACGAGATTCTATAATGCGAGAACCTTGACAACTCATGGAGCCAATACATCGTCTCACAACTTGCGAAGAGTAGGCAAAGAAGCTTATTTTATCAAGGAAGAAAAACTTCCATACCCCAAAGGCAAACAAGCAAGGTGCGGCCCGTGCCGAGAATTTGCTGACGCCAACGCTATGAAGCGTGTTGGATAAATCAATATCGTCAACTTGGTTGTGCCTATCAAGCCAAGATCGCGCCCCTTATGCGCCACTGCAACTCGATCGTACCTTGGAACAATGCAATAAAGGAAACACAATCAAGAATTGGCAGAGATACCTGTATGTTACGAAGATGATGCTAGCGACGAAACGAAAGGCAAATTCACATAAGCCAAGTTTAGGGTCGAGTAAGTCATGGGAATCGCCAAGATTCCCTCTGTTTCGTACCATTACTTCCTCGGACATGTTTGTCGTTTTGTGCTGCGCAGTTCAAATACCTACAATTGCAAAATGCGCGAGATCATACAGTGTCGTCTATGACTTGAATGCAATCCGTCCTCTAGGATACCCGCCCTGGAAGATTTCCGACCCTCCATCAAATCCGTGATGCGTGAAATACTATCACTGTCTCCGTCTAGATGACCATGATCTCGTCGCTCATCGCCTTCCACTAAAAGGCGAAAAGACCAGGCGTTCAAGGCTCCAGTACCAACATCTCAACCCACTTTGCTAGCAATACCACACTCAACATCAATTGACTTGGTAAGTCATCATTGTTGAATGCCAGTGCTGGCGAGTTGCGGCACTCAAAAGCCGTTGCGAAGCTTTCAAGCTTGCATATTGCTCTTGTATAATCCGTCATCGTTCGTCGCGTAGTACCACACCACCAGCTGAACATAACAAAATACGCTGTTAGTCCAGAATAACCAGCTAAGTTAATGCAGGTAGAATACGCGAAGTTTCGTTATTAGACACATCGTTCACGTGAAGCAGCACAGTTCCCACAGAAGCACTGATAACGGTCCAGGGGGCTATGCTGCCTATCATCACCTCACCATCCTTAACTCTCCTGAACATCTCTATCGTTTAGATTCCCCGCGTGCCAGTGCCGTCGCGAGTCCTCCTTTCGTTTCCACTGAGCATCGCCATCACATGGTTACATACACACACTCGATCTCCCGGCTCACCGAACACAGCCACTCCCCGATTGTCACCTCAGAATCTGGATCAACACCAACCGAACCGGACTCGTGATCTTCGATCTGGGAAGAACCAAGCCCACGATGCCAACTTTTAGGCAGATCAATAGTAGCTCCCTCCCTCCCAAACAAATTTAGAAACATATCACCCTCTCTCCCAGTCACTACAGCAATGTCATACCCGCAGACGCCTCCTTTCCCAAGAACCCATCGCCGATCACACGGGAGAAGCTTCGATGGGGCCGCCGAAATGAAGGGAAATTCCCCGACCAGATCCACTGCACCCATCACCCATCACACACCCGCCTGCCTGCCAGCAAAGGCCCCGTTCCAGCACTGGGCACCTGTCGAAAAAAAAGAGCACCTGCTGCCCGCTGCAGCCACGGGGGGCTCGAAAGAGAAAGAGTCATCGTGAACCAAGCCTTACCGACTGCGCAAGGGGACCATGTCAGGTTGGGCTGCGATGGGAAATTGAAGCCCAAAGAGTGGCCCTGTCGTTGTCACGATGGATGCTGTCCGTGTCCTTTTTTGCCCTTGCGGCTCTTGCCTGTCGCTCATCAAACATTTCGCTCGTCTACAAGACGTCCCTCCGTCTCCCCTAGACCCGGAAACAT